GCCTCCTAGAGTGCTAGGATTACAGGCAGGAACCACTGTGCCTGGCCCCCTCTCTGTAATTTTTGAAAGTTTTTCTCTGTTTCCTGAATTATCTCTATTTTACTCAAGGTCAGTTTTTCTTTTTTAACATTGCAGATTCTCCTTATTCTCTTATTGATCCTGTGTAATAGAAACTTAGAGAAGAATGAAAGATCAAGGAGCTGGTGTGGTTTCCTCTACTGTGTAAATGGAGGATTTCTAACATGGTGGGAATCCTGCCTGGGAACTAAGTCTGGAGAGGGAGGGAACACATTACTCATGATTCAGGCTGCACAATAGGGACAGTAGGCAGGAGGAAGAGGGCATCTAGACTAGAGGACACCAGAAACACCATAATGAAAAGAGCTTTGTTATAGGAAAGAGGTATCTTTGCTTTTCCAGGAGTTCTTTCAATTATTTAAGAAAAGGCTTAACACCCTGCTTGAGTGTAGAAATCTGTTGGAATTCTATGAGAAAGGAGAAAGAAATAGAATGACTTCTATTGAGTTAGCTGTTGCAAACACAGATCATTGAAGCCCTGTGTTATGTTCCATTTCTCATTTCTTCCTTCTCTAGGAAGGAGAATGAAAAAAAGTTACTATATAACTCTATTATATAACCTCTAAAGCCTTTAAAGCTTTTCATATAACCTCTAAAGAATTATTATATAACCCCTAAAGCCAAGATTCCCTCCAGGTTACAGTGTACAGGTTGGTTTTTATTCCTATGGACTCTGGAAAAGTCTTTTTCACCTCCACAAATGTGCTTACATCTATTTTCCTTTTTTATCAGAAACTTTGTTGAAATTTGTATCCTGTTTATTGTTATGAGTGTATTTTATAAATACAAAAGTATGCTTTTATATCAGTGGTAAGTGTTAAGGAGCAAAACCCTTGAACTCTAAGTTCACATTTCGAACCATAAATTTCTTCACTGGAGCAAGATGGCAGAATATGAGTTTTGTAACATCACACTGAAGAGCATCTGTTTTGTCCATTACCCTGGATGACAGTACCATTATGGGAGTCTGGGAATTCAACAGAGAAGTTGCTGTATACTTTTAGAGCAAAAAGTCTAAGATACATGAGGAAGGTGAGAAAAATCATTTTACTTTACCTGTATTAGCCTTCCCCCAGTGGGACAGTTCAGTGTCAAGAGAGACACCCTCAGCCCGTGAGTTCTCCCACAGAGGAAAGTGAGATTGTAGTGAGCGAGTACCCAGCCATGCAGGCTGCCGCTATTCAAGAGGCTTACTTCTTTTTTTGTTCTTTTAGATCTCTTAGGTGACTGGCAGGTGACTGGTGGGTGACTGGCAGAGCTAGGTGGTTTGAAGAATGTGGAGCAGGAAAGAGGGTCCACTCTGTGGACTCAATAAGAAAGGCTGCCCATAAGCTGCTTGGGACAAGTCATCTGAGAACCCATGGACATGGCAAATACTATGCGTGCCTCATTCCCTGTCCCTGAACACCCACCCATGGATGGTAAATACAAATGTCTCATGCAGATAGATGGCTCAATTCTGCTAAAATGGGAGAAAATTCAGGAATTTGGGCATTTTAGGACACTAATCTAGAAAAAACAAATGAGAGGCTGTTAGCAACCAGCCTGGTTTAGAGAGTTAAGAGAAGGCATACATTCTTATGAGTTCCCTGCAATGAGTGTGAAGTGGATGTAGTAGGTCTGAGAGAACTTAAAATCTCTACTGGGATGACTGGTGAAGGTGATTCTCTATTGAAGCCAGTGACTAAAGACTAAAGGGCCTAATTAGTTTTTCATATGTGGAGATAGCAACACAAGACTTCAAGTAACATTAAATATGACAGCACCAAAGGAACACAATAATATTCTAGTAACCGACTGTGAAGAAATAGAGGTCAACAAATTGCCTGACAAACAATTCAAGATAATTAGTTTAAGAAAGCTAAGAGAGCTACAAGAAAACACAGATAGACAACTCAATAAAATCAGTAAAGCAATACACGAACAAAAGTAGAAGTTCAATAAAGTAATAGAAGTCATAAAAAAGAACAATGACTTTCTGGAGCCAAAAGAAACAATGATTGAAGTGAAAAGTGCAATAGAGAATGTCAAGGGCAGACATAAGCATAAGAAAAGATCTATTTAAAGATATAAATAAATGAGCTTGAAGAGAAGTCATTTGAAATTGTTTAGTCAGTGAAGAAAAAAGAGATGGAATGAAGACATTCTATAGGATTCATAAAAACAATCAAGGGAGCTAAAATTTGTGTTATGGGAGTTTTAAAAGAAGAGAGAGAATGGTAGAGAGGAGGGAATCTTATTTTTTTAAAAAAGCTGAAAACTTCCCAGATCTAGAGAGATACAGATATCCAAATATGTGGAAGTCAAAGGTCTATAAACAGCTCAAAGAATGTTACACTGAGCCACTTTAAATCAAACTGACAAAAATCTAAAGAATTTTGAAAGGGGCACAGAAAATAATTCTGTCTCATACAAGGGAGTCTCCATATGGCTATCAGAAGATGTCACAGCAGAAATCATGTGGTACACAGGGAATAGGAGTATGTTCAAAGTGCTGAAAGAAAAAAACTGTCAACCAAGAGTATTTTATGTGGCAAATCTAGTCTTCAGAATTGAAGGTAAGTATGGGCATGGTGGCTCATGTCTATAATCTTAACACTCTAGAAGACTGAGGCAGGAGGATCCCTAGAGCTCAGAAGTTTGAAATCAGCCCTAGCTGATTTTACCAAAAATAGAAAAATTAGCCAAACATTGTGGTAGGTAACTGTATTCTGAGCTACACTGGAGGCTGAAGTAGGAAGATCACTTGAACCAAGGAGTTTCATAGTTTCAGCTGTGAGCTAGGCTGATGCCATGGCATTCTGTTTAAACAAACAAAACAAAACAAAACAAAAGATGCAATTCCAATAAAATTTCATTAAAATAAAAAGGTGAGGTAAAGACTTTCTAAGACAAGGAAATCTAATGGAGCTCATCACCACTAGACCTACCTTATAATAAATGCCAAGTGGGGGCTTTAATATGAAAGAAAAGGATGATAATCAGTAAGATAAAAGCACACGAAAGCATGAAACTCACTAGTAAGTGAAAGTACATAGAATAAGATATTTCAGTACTGTGATGTTGGTGTTAAATTGCTTAAAACTCAAATATAAAGGTTGAATGATAAAAATATTGAAATAACTATAGCTATAAAAAATGTTACATGTGTACTATAATACAAAGATGTAAATTATGACATCAGAAACAAAATATGAAGGGGGAGGTGGCACCTATAGCTTAAGCGGATAAGGTGCCAGCCACATATATCAGAGGTGGCGGTTCAAATCCGGCCCGGCCTGCCAAACAGTGACAACTACAACCAAAAAATAATAATAATAATAATAAAAAAAATGAAGAGGGAAATACAGAATTTTTGTATGCAATCACAGTTACATTGTTATCAGCTTAAATAACTATAACTATAGTTATAGCTATAAGATGTTTTATGTAAGCATCATGGTAACTACAGAGCAAAATTCTATAGTAGATATACAAAAGATAAAGGAATAAAAGCATAGAGCTACAGAAAATCATCAACTCACAAAGGAAAATATTAAGAGAAGAAGAAAAAAACAAAGGATGAACAAAACAACTGGAAAATAATTAACAAATGTCAATACTAAGTTCTTACCTATTAATAATTTAAATTTAATGAGTTACATTCTCCAATCAAAACAAATAGAGTGAATAAACTGATTTTAAAAATATCCAAATATACGTTACCTACAAAGATTCACTTGCCGGTTTTAAATACACATATGGAATAAGAGTGAAGATGTGGGAAAATGTTCCATACAAATGGAAACCAGAAGAGAGCAGAGATTACATCAGACAAGTAGACTTTAAGTCAAAAACTATAACAAGGGACAAAGAAGGTCATTATGTAATGATAAAGAAAGTTATTTCATCAAGAGGATGTAACAACTATAAATACATATGCACCCAACATCAGAGCACCTCAGTATAGAGAGCAAATATTAATAGACTTGAAGGGAAAAATACATAGCTTTTATGGTAGACTTCAATCCCACTTCCAACAATGAATACATCATCCAAACAGAAAATCAATAAACGAATATCAGACTTCAACTACACTTCATAGAAAGTGGTCCTAACAGACATATATAGAACATTTCATCCAGAGCAATACAATGAATGTTCTTCTCAAGCACACATGGAGCATGTTCTAGGATAGATCATATTTTAAGCTATAAAATAAACCTTAAAAAATTTAAGCATATTAAAATCATAGCTAACATTTTTTTCTGACCACAATGATATAAAACTAGAAATCAGTAGCAGAAGGTAAATTGACAAATTCACAAATACTTGGAAATTAAACAATATATTATTATTATTTTTTTTTTTTTCTGAGATGGAGTCTCACTATGTTGCCCTGGGTAGAGTGCTGTGGTGTCACACACAGCAAACTCAGACTCTTGGGCTTAAGCAATTCTCTTGCCTCAGCCTCCCAAGTAGCTGGGATTACAGGCACCCACTGCAATGCC